AACCTACCGAATGATAAGCATCTACCTAGATACATATGTCATCCAATTCATGTCTTCTTAATTTCATGCATCCTGCTGTGCTACAATATACAACTCTTTAATGAACAGTCACAACACAACAAATAATAAAACATCAAAGTCAGCGTTCAGCTGTGGCTTGCTGAACGCTGACTTTGATGTTTTACTATTTGTTGTGTTGTGACGGTTCATTAAAGAGTTGTAATTCATGTCTGATTCCGGTTACAGAATTTCTGCAATTATAACATTCAGCTCCGATATTCACCAAACTTTCAACACACCCGATACAAATTGTGAATCAGTTTCGCGTCATGCCAATTTGTGTCTCTGCAACTAAACACACGGTAAAAAAATACTGACTACGTCTTAGGGTTATATCAGTAACATGTGAGCTTAGCCTTGTCCCCAAAGTCATGGACTGTTATCAGTTAATCACAGTATATATATATATATATATATATCAATATGTATCATATTTATGAGGATTGCCATGAAGAAGTGACCAAACCAAAACGAAATCGCGTAATACCAAATTCACCATTTTATGAGAATGGTTTATTTGTCTGTATAGAAACGGTTCTGTTTAATTACGTTCATGTTTACAGGGAATTCCTGCATAAAAATCCAGTCATCCCTGCTAAAGGTCGCCATATAAAGAATATCCTAACCGAGCTCACATTACGAATATAATTGTGACATTTGAAAAAAAAATAACTAAAGGAGTAAGAAACAAAGAAAAAGAAATGAAACATAGAAACCTTAATCGATGCTAGTAAGGAGGTTGGTCTAGGAACAAACACAGACAAAACTAAGTATACGTTGTTATCTCGTCACCAGGACGAGGGCAAAATCATATGATGAAGTTAGCTAATAGATGCTTTGAAAATTGATACACATGTTCCATCGCTTTTCCAGTGCGTCGAAACCCGCACCATAGAAGTCTATTGACTGTTGCCTCAACCACTTCCGCACCTCCGTTTCAACCTCTTCGTCCTCAATGAAATATTTGTCACGTTTCTCGATCCAGCTGTGAGCCGATTTAGCGATAAACTCTTCCCACCATAAACAGGAGACAGTGAATCCTTCTTCCCACAGAAAGCACACAATATAACGATGCTCTTCGGTAATATACTGCTAAAACACCGTCGCCATTTTGACTACTGAAACCAGATTCTGAACATGATCATACGCGTCTGCTGCCTAGACTGTCATGAAGCTTGACTGTGCTGCTACCTAGTGATATAAAAACATATTACGTCCATTATAGCTGTTTTACTTCCATTTATGGCCTATTTAATGAATCTCCCTGTTATATTAAACGTCGCAATTTATGTCATGAACTGTTGTTTTGTGATGAACGCGAGTACATGAATGTTCTGTTTTAAAAGTAATTGCTTCAGCAATATAAACTTTATTTCATTGCCTTACATATTTGTTGCCTCTGAAAACAAGAGAAATCGGGTAATTTCATTGTGAAGTAATTAAAGAAACAAATACAATTTTCAACACATTTCCTGAAATAAAGCAAAATATATGCTGCACGTAACCTTTTTAGCAGTATCCCACTACTTATTGCTCATATATTTCGCCATTTGCAAGTAGAAACTCTCGAAAAATGTGCCATAAACTTGTCGTCACAAATTAAGATTATGAAAGAGCATTTGCTTGGGTATAAACCTGTTTTTAATATCTGCACTTAATTTCCGATGACAAAATAATTGAAGATGAACCAGTATTGCATAGTGGAAGGAAGTGTACCACCCTCCAGGGGTGTAATATAACGACTCTGTTATCGTTGGCTATAAAAGTGAAAACGAAATATATTCAGTGCTTAGTTTTAGAGGTGCCATCAAAATGTTGGAACTGTGGACAGAGTCAGAGTTTGTTAACTTCTCCTCTGAAAACAACTGAAAGAGTTGAAGTGTTTTCTGTTCGTACGTACGAATATAAATATCAGAATTGGGCACATCCCTAAGTCCTTTCTGGAGAAGGAATTGAGATAAACTTTGTTAATTGAAGGAGACACAATTAAAAAAAATTACCACATCAGAGAGGAACTCGCGAACCGCGTAAAATGTTATCATCCATTTCGTCTGGAATAGATCCTAAAGATGAGTCACAAGCAACAAGAATCCATGTAAAGTAAACTGAACAGAAATGATGTCTACAGGGTGTGTGTGGATTTAGAACAGGGGAATATTAGTGACAGCCAATGTCTTATTGACAATTGACTTTGTTTTGTGTACACAACACTGTAAGTTTACATCAAATTGTAGATAAGACTGTTATGGTGAAATTTATCACGTATTTAAAATGGAAGGATTAATTCGTATTAATTTCTGAATTACAGAAATACAGAAGACCCTTTCCTGGACACGTATCACAATATTGGAAAGTATCGTGCACAAAAATACGAAGAGTTCACGCAAGTGTTTTGTACCAGAGAAAAGAGGAACATGTTTTAGGTTTATGCTGAGACATGAACCAGCTCTTTACGTCTGGAAACTATAACAGTGAATTACGCGTCCTTCTTTTCAGAACCAGGTCAAAGAAAAAACTACCTCAAAAAACGTGTGTTAACGTGCGATTAAAAACAAAGTGATGAAGAAAAGTGGGGCCATAGCCCAAAAGTTCAACCTTCCTTGTCTTTGTGGTCCAAGTAATAATTATTATGTAAATTAGAATCGGCTCTCATCATTGAGCGTATAAATCATTTAGGCATTTCAATAACTCGAATATTTATTTCATATGTTTAATGAAATATGTATTTTCGCCGCTGCTGATATACGGAACATATACAAGTAAAGCAATAAAGGATGGACAATTCTTATTTTTATGCGATCTTTACGCGAAATACGTGGACAGAACCCATGGTATTATTCTAATAAGTAGATTCTTGATATTAATATCGAAAATCCTACGCTATGTAGACTCGATGCTAGTAGCGTCGATAAATAAACAACTAAACTGAACGCCCGTGCCCTGTAGTCCGCAAGCGAACTATAGCGACCGAGCGACCGCCGCTTATCGATGAAGTTAGTGGCAACTTTTGCGGATAGAGGGTGTCACGTGGTCAGCGCAACGGATCCCAACAGCCGTTAATCTCGGTTTTCTAGACCGGAAAATAAACAACTAAAACGTATCGAAAATAAATACTATTAGTACCTGTCAGTGCAATAAAAATAGGGTTGTAATATATATATATATATATATATATATATATATATACCCACATATATGTGCGTATGTTTGTATAAAATACGAGGATCTTTATGATTATTATTATTATTATTATATATTTCTAGTGCCGTAGTAGCTTTCGTTTACTTACACATGTGGCAGCTTTGTGTATGGAAATGTGTCATCTGGAGGAAAGAGACGTAATTTAATCCATTCTCTTAACGGAGAAAGGAAGGAACGAGGTAAAGGTATGGAAGCAATAAAGGAAGAGAAGAAATGGTTGAGGAACGAATATTATTGCCCGTTAAATTTCAATGCCACTTTCTACTAATATTAAGATATACCTCAAAGGAAAATTTTGAAGGTACAAAATTATAATATAACGGTCATCCGATTTATATGTTGCAAAATCATCATCAAGTACTGATATTTTTACCATTGTGTATATTGCAAAGTGGATGTGTTTTAGCGTTCTCCTACACAAAAAAAAATTAAATTAAATTGAATTACACATCAACCAATACAGCTTATTTTTCTAACGAATAGTATTTTTTTATTGCTAGTGGGGTGGGATTAAGTCCCTTGTACTGCGGCCACTTCTGGCCTATTGTACCAGCCCCAGATGATAGGTAAGGGTGATTGTGGAGCAATTGGTGGAATGAAGATTTGCAGGGGAAACCGAAGTACTCGGAGAAAACCTGCCCCAGCGCCACTTTGTCGTCCACCACAAATCCCACTTGACAAAACTCGGGATCGAACCGGGGCCGCCTCGGTGGGAAACCAGCGACTAACCGCATGAGCTATGGAGCGGCCCTAACGAACAGTAAGTCCGACTTTGTATGTATTAAAAATTCCCCTGTTATGGTGGGATAATTTCAATATCAATATTCTGCTTCCTTGCATATAGTGAGGTTAGTACGTGTATTCATACTCATCAACCAGTAACATTATAGTGATAAATAAGAAGGGGACGAGTTGGACAAAACATGCAGCATGCAAGAGGCACATGTGAAATAAATTCAAAATTGTAGTTGTAAATTTTAAGGGATAACAATAAGTCTAGGCTCTTTAGATTTGGATACGTATGATGATATTACTAAAGTGTATCTGTAATACGTATGGTGTGAGGTCGTGAAATTCAAAATGTGTCTTAAAGTAATAGAATTGGGTGGTGGACAAGATGTATCTGGCTCAGGATAGGGACCAGTGGATGGCTGTTTTGAACGCGGCTTTCCAATATGGAGTCTACTCTATGGACTTAATACGTTTTTAGTTGGTTATTATTTTTAATATTTTCGATTTTGTTGTTAGTAAACAACACTGAACATTCACAGGGATAAGTATTTGTCTAGGGTAATTGGTCTGTTTCAACTTCTGCATACAGGTGAACTCAGTGTGAGCTCCATAGGACAAACACAACAACTGTCCAACGAATTGAGCAAGCGACAATAATTTAATTCCTACTAAGACTATTTCTCGGTCAGTACAGGGGTTAAGTACGCCAATAGCCGGCCATCCAAAATGTTCAGTCGCGGACAACATCCTTTTCAAAGAATGCACTGCAAGATAATTAGCCACGCGTCTATTGTTTCTGTTGAACTTAACAATGACGTGTATTCTAGTGGATTTACATGAGAAAAACACTGATATAAAATCCTTTCGTTATCTATAAAAGCCCGGTTCCGGTTGATAAAATATTTTGTAATAATTCATTTTATGACACTTGAAAGATAATACATTATCTGTGGACCTACTGTAAACGCAGGTGTATTTAGTATCTATAGCAACAGACGTATGAATATTTGGAGTATATAAGGAAGACGCATCGTGATAGACATCCTGGGAGACACTGTGTATTTGATTATCAGGATGGCACTTATAAGCATCGCTGTAGTGTTACTGTTCATGGTGGTGGGTTCACATGAGCATGGCATGTTGATAGACCCTGTGAACCGTAGCTCCATGTGGCGTAAAGGCTACAACACACCCGCAAATTATGAAGATAACCAGCTCTTCTGTGGTGGTCGGTCGGTAAGTTCGAATGTTTTTGTTTAAAATGTGCATGGAAGATCTAGGCTCACATAGCATGCTGGAGTGTTGGGGGAGGGGACGCCAGAGTAGCATGCAAGAGGAACCAATCCCGTCTCTTCATTTTTTTTCCAATATAAGCTCACCTTTCTTCAAGATTTTCAGTATTTAATTATTATGCAGGACTGTTGTCAGGTTATTGTTTCTTGAGCGATGAAGAAGGAAATATTTGGAAATTTAAAAGCAATGACAAATCATTCGTGAAAAATTACTGAGTCCGCTTATTTACCTCCACACCCTTACCGACAACATTCGGAATTACAGTATACAGAAAACACTATTGGTGAAGTTACAAATATTTTGCAATTGTAATATAAGAATTATATTTGGACCGAAGAGAGATGAAGTGACAGGAGGTTGGAGAAAACTGCATAATGAGGAGCTTCATAACTTGTACTCTTCTCCAAGTATAATTAAAATGATCAGGTCAAGGAGGATGAGGTGGGCAGGGCATGTAGCACGAATGGGGGAAACGAAGAATGCGTATAGGATATTAGTGGGAAAACCAGAAGGAAAAAGCCCACTGGGAAAACCAAGGCGTAGGTGGGTAGACAATATTAAAATGGATCTTAGAGAGATAGGATGGGATGGTATGGATTGGATTGCTCTGGCCCAGGATAGGGACCAGTGGAGGGCTCTTGTGAACACAGTAATGAACCTTCCGGTTCTATAAAATGCTGGGAAATTCTTGAGTAGCTGCAGAATTGGCGGTTCCTCCAGAAGCGCTCAGCTCCATAAGTAAGTAAGTAAGTAAGTAAGTAAGTAAGTAACATAAGAATTAACCAAGACAGAAAAGGACAATTTATTAAACACTGTCCAATAAATTCGAAAATAAAATAATTTCGATACAATATAATCAACTTTATTAGATAGCGAATAACATTAATTATTAATGCTACATGAAAATATTTCATAAGTTAAATGAAACCTGAACTAATTTTGAAAGTGCTGGGAATAGAACCTCGTTCTAAAATACATTTTATTTCAACGGTAATGACAATTAAAAAATCTATATGTGTGACAAGGAGCGGTATGACGGAGTAAGTCACATGAAGCTAACAATGAAAATTATTTACATTATTTCGAAAGGATGTGGTGCCGACACAACGGGGCACGTGTGAGAGACTCTAGTTCAGTGTAAGGGGAAATAGTAACACAAAAATGAAGAACAGGGCAATGTCTTCCTTTAAAATTTTAATGATGAAAACACTTATTACATATTTGCTTTGACGGCAGAGAACAAGATGACCTAGAAGTAATGCTCTAGCTGAATATTCGGGAAGACGAGCGGTTCAGTTCTCCCCTGGGCTACAGTCTATTCTCAGAAGGCATTCGTGTATTTCTTCAATCTTTCCAGTGAAATATCTGAATAGTAAATCTTTTACGCCAGGACCGATTTCCTCTAAATGTGATTTCTAAATCTTTAGGTCAAAATATCATTCAAAACTTTATAACAGTGGTTTTCAAACTTAGTGAGACCGCGGTCCGGTAAATTCTATTTTTGTAAGACGAGGTCCAGGTACCGGGCGGCGGCCCAGCGGTTGAGAAACACTGCTTATAATCTCGGTGCTGAACACGCCTTTATAGGGCCCACAAGGAAATTATAACGCAATTTTTATTTTATTACTAGTGGGGTGGGACTAAGTCCCTTGTACTGCGGCCACCTCTGGCCTATTGTATCAGCCCCAGATGATAGGTGAGGGTGATTGTGGAGCAATTGGTGGAATGAAGATTGGCAGGGGAAACCGAAGTACTCGGAGAAAACCTGCCCCAGCGCCACTTTGTCCACTACAAATCCCACTTGACCAGACTCGGGATCGAACCCAGGCCACCGCGGTGGGAAGCCAACGACTAACCGCTTGAGCTATAGCGCGGCCATGTTATGATGCAATACTCGTAGTCACGTATTAACCTAACATCCTGTCAGAATAAAAGGAGAATTAATGGAATAATTTATACTCGTATATTTCTCATATTTTAAGGTTAATCAGTATTTAGACTTCAATTCTTTCATGTTTCTCCAGTGCAACACTAGATTCCTTAGTGCACAGCACACAGCACCTATATAAAAGAAGAAAAGAGGTAAATTCGAAAAAATGGATAGAACAATAATTATAATTATTCTCTATTAATAATTTCTCTTTGAAGAGAGATATGACACATGACTGAAAACCATAATTATGGTTTTCAGTCATGTGTCATGTCTCTCTTCAAAGAGAAAAATACTAGGATATTCTCACAGAGATATTGGGTTTTCGGTCTTTATCCATCGTCCTGGTTTTAAAGATAACTAACAAAAAACACGACGTTTCGGAAACTGGATCTGCTTCCATCCTCAGTTGAGGGAAAACACCTATTCTGTTGGGTCCCTTAGAAAGAGCTAGCCTCAATCACTGGACGAAAACCCAATATCTCTGTGTGTTATACACCATCGTCAGAATCCTATAGTAACTACTTGGATATTCTGTTCATACAAGTGAAACCACTTATCTTAAACACAGTAACTCTGCGTTTCAAGCTAGAATTTTTATTCTTGAGAAAACACTGGTTATTTCTGGCGTCATTTCATGTTTTCTTTTTCAGAATATCGTATTTATATGTGTATTAATGTACAACATACTTGTCTACAAGGAGAAGTCCTCACTCAGAAACAACTGTTGCTCATATACCTACGAAATTACTCGTCCTTTATGGTACTAAATATTTAATTATATGAGTAAAGTATTCATGTGTTAAATAAGTTTAAGTATAATGAATATAGTAGACCGCCTCTGTGGTCTAGTGATCAGAGTTCCTGGCTACAGATCCAGAGTTCCCGGGTTCGATTCCGGGCGCTACCAGATTTTCTTAGAAGTAGTGGGTCTGGGATGAGGTCCACTCAGCTTCGTGAGGATAACTGAGGAGCTATTTCAATGCAATAACGGCTCCGGCCTAGAAACCCGAGATTAACGGCCGTGGGGATCCGTTGTGCTGACCACGCGACACCCTCTAGCTGCTAAAGTTGGCACTAACTTCGCCGACAAGCGGCGGTTGCTCGGTCGATATAGTTCGCTTGCGGACTACAGGCCACAGAGTTTTTTATAATGAATATAATATTGTATTGAACAAAAGCACTACAACTTTGCGAACGAGCCTGATTTAATTATTCCTTCTCGTATTAATAAACTTAGATTCAACAATAAAAATATGTAGATACTTTCTAAGGATATTCACAGACGATTTGACAATACACAACATGCAAACAGATTAAGATAGCTGGTTTGCTTTTGTAAGCGGAAATAATGACACGGAGTAATAGCCATTATGTTGCTTCCCTTATTACAAAGTTTATGGTAACAGTGGTTAAGTTACTTTTGTCTGCGGCAGAGAAGAATGAACGGAGAAGTTCATGGAGGTAGGCCTAGGCCCTCTGGGGCTGTAGTGCCAATGAAAAAAAAAAGAGAGAGAGAGAGAAGAATGAGGTATGAAGTTTGCGGCGAATTGAGATATGGTTTTGGTTTCAGGTTCAATGGGAACAAAATGGCGGCAGGTGCGGTGAATGTGGGGACAATTATCAACTAGCTCGGCCTAGACCAAACGAAAATGGCGGCACTTTTGGAACTGGTATTGTTGTCGCGAAGTGAGTTTTATTGACTGGAACACGGATGGGTGGTTTGCAGTCTCACTGACTATATTGCTATCTATATTCCTATAAAAATGATCACCTGACTGGTCTGATAACAGTTGTCGTGTCAAGTAAATGAATGATTGGCTTCTGAGTCGATGTCTGGCTACTTACCTGATTGGTTAACTGACACTCTGAGTAAGGGAAACACTAACTGAACTGGCAGATATCTTCACCAGTTGATATACTGGTCGTCTATCTGGCTGACTGATCAATTATCCCTTTTTTTCGAAAAAGATTGCTGGTAGACAGATTAGTGGAGGGACTTTATGAGACACGTTTTACTAGCTAGTTTGTTAACACACTAATTTTTACGCTATAATTACTCGGTTTCTTTACTTGAAGTCTTGTGTTATAAAAATATAGTGCTATATCTATAAACATAGTAACACATTTTAATGGTGGAAAACATTTTCAATTGAGAGAAGCATTTCATTATTAAACGTACTAAGTACTCTATAAGGAGACATTTTGCCGCCTAATATACTAATTTAGCTACTGATATATGTGAATTTTCATACATGTATTCTCAATTAAGACTTTGCTACTCAGAGAATTTAAATTTATCAATGTTCAATGCAGGTCAGACACACTGAAAAGTAGTGTACAAAACTGTACTGCAGCATCGCTTTGCACGTCACTTATTTTCACCTATTATTCCGGCGTCTGACATGCAAATTCTGTTAAAATCTTAAAATTCACTTTGAATTTATTTTACCCTCTTTTATGCACCCATGTATTATACCGTATTTACGCATGTATAGGCCGCACATTTTCTGCCAAAAATTCAAGAGGAAAACTGGGGTGCGACTTATATTCGAAATATTCGAAATCACACTTCATTTAAAAATATATATATATATTCATAATTAGTAATACAGGGTGTTCTACTCCTGAAATAATATTCCAAGAAAATTATTTTTTCTATAATTTCTGTCTGAAAATTGTGCTGCGGCCTATACATGCGTAAATACGGTACGTCTTTAGTGTTGGATGTCGTGTACATTCCTTTTAATTTACGTCATATAACCGCATTAAACATCAGAATATATATGAAAAGTGGAGATATCATTTGAAGAGTCAGTATGAAGCTGTTCCATGTTGAGATGTATTGGTTGCTCTTTTAGAAAGATAGGCCGCACATTTTCTGCCAAAAATTCAAGAGGAAAACTGGGGTGCGACTTATATTCGAAATATTCGAAATCACACTTCATATAAATATATATATATATTCATAATTAGTAATACAGGGTGTTCTACTCCTGAAATAATATTCCAAGAAAATTATTTTTTCTATAATTTCTGTCTGAAAATTGTGCTGCGGCCTATACATGCGTAAATACGGTACGTCTTTAGTGTTGGATGTCGTGTACATTCCTTTTAATTTACGTCATATAACCGCATTAAACATCAGAATATATATGAAAAGTGGAGATATCATTTGAAGAGTCAGTATGAAGCTGTTCCATGTTGAGATGTATTGGTTGCTCTCTTAGAAAGATTAATTTCTTTGTTTGCAATAGCTACCCGGCTGGATCAGTCATCAAAACCGTGACTAAACTAACAGCGAATCATTTGGGTCATCTCGAATTCCGACTTTGCAAACTGAAGTCGAGCGGAGAGCTGGAATCTGAAGAGTGCTTCGCACAGTATCCGCTGAAAGTAAAGGGTGGCAGCACGATCTACAATTTACCCAATCAGAACACCGGAAACTTCGAAGTCGAACTGACCCTGCCTAATATAAAGTGCGAACAGTGCGTCCTGCAGTGGACTTACGTAACAGGTTAGTAACATGAAAGGCATTCTACGATGCATCCTTGTGACATACAACATGAACTGTTTCGAGTCCATTGCACGATGGAAGTATATTTTGTGCGATATTATCGGTCACTGGACGCATGGATGGGGGTTGGATTCCCCGGCAGGGGTAAAGAAATGGTTCTGTTCCCCAGAGTCGGGGGTCACGCGGTAGCGTAGTTGATTGAGGCACTATACTACAAGCCAGAAAGTCGCGGGTTCGAGTCCCGATGAGGTGGATTTTTCAATTTACCTAATCCTCCCTGCCGCATTATGGCCCTGGGGTCGACTCAGTCTCTAACAGAAATGATTACCAGGAATATTTCTGGGGATAAAGGGCGACTAGCGCGTAAGGCTGACAACCTCACCCTCATCTGTGAGCCGATTGTCTAGAAAACTTGAGAGCCTCAAAATCTCATAAGTTCACGGTCCTCCACGGCCTGTTACAGGGAAACCTTTACTTACTTACTTCCCCAGAGTCGAGACCGGCTCTGGGGCCCACGCTGTCTCCTATACAATAGGTACCGTGGGTTCTTTTCCCGAAGGTAAAGCGACAAGAGCGTGAAACTGACTACTGGTCTATATCTTATGTCGAAGTCAAGAATAGTGGAAATTTACCTCCACTCCCCGACACTTATTTTTGGAGTGGTGCTTTCTTAATTAAACACAGTGACAAATTTACCCCTTACCTTCCTATCTGTCACTCCGTCATCATGTTACGTGTAAAGTGTTTAATATGTCCTCCCCATTCCTCCGTCTTCACGAATTCGTTTTGTCGAATGAAGGTATCCTGACTTCACGGTCCGTACCAAAAGACTCTCCACGTAATGTTTCATGTTTACCTTGTAACGGAAAGAGAAACCACTGGGCAAATTCGCAAAAATCAGACCGGCTTCATCAACATATTTAAGCTATTCTTCCTGAGAAACATCTAGATTCTACTGCAGATTTTAACAAACTCCGTGGTTCTAGTGCGCAAGCGAACTATACCGACCGAGCGACCACCGCTTGTCGGCGAAGTTAGTGCCAACTTTAGCGGATAGAGGGTGTCGCGTGGTCAGCGCAACGAACACCCACGGCCGTTAATTTTCAGTTTTCTAGATCGGAGCCGCTATTTCCTTGAAATAGCTCCTCAATTATCCTCATGAGGCTGAGTGAACCCCGTTCCAGGCCCAATACGTCTCAGAAAAATCTGGTAGCGCCGGGAATCGAACCCGGACCTCTGGATCTGTAGCCAGAAATTTTGACCATTAGACCATAGAGGCGGTCGACAAATTGTTTAAAATAACAAAGCTAATAAATATTAAGCATATTTATCATTTGTACATTTTCTTCAGTATTTCAATGAAGAGCAATGCTCACGATTGTATGTCCAATAGGAACTCTAAATCCATTAACATGATAATATTGAAAACTGTGAGTGTGTAATTAGTTCTAGAATAGGCTAAAGAATGGTGAGTATTTCCCCCCGAAGATCAAATTAAAGTTTAATAAACTGGTTTATAAGGCTTCGTGCAATGTCCAGCATGGCATACGAATATGATTTATTCTTCTTTACCTTCTTCACGTCGGAAACAAATAGAGAGGTATTTGCGAGTATTACTCATCTTCTGTCTATATGAACTAAGTTCTTTATTTTTATTTTTAGCAAATGTCATAGATGATATGTGGTTCTAATCAGAAAGAAAGGCCGCTCCATAGCTCAAGCGGTTAGTCGCTGGCTTCCCACCGCGGCGGCCCGGGTTCGATCCCGGGTCTGGTCAAGTGGGATTTGTTGTGGAAAAAGTGGCGCTGGGGTAGGTTTTCTCCGAGTACTTCGGTTTCCCCTGCCAATCTTCATTCCTCCAACTTCTCTATCATCATAATCACCCGGGGCAGGCTACAATAGGCCAATCGATGGCCGCCGTGCCGAGTGGACCCAGTTGGACTCCACCCCCCACTAAAGCGAATTCTCCGTTCGTGCTAAAAACCCAACTTATCTCATTATTCTTGATTTTCTGATTCCAATAAATGTAATATATAAAGAAAAGTAAGATCATAAAGTTCCTTGTTATGTGACTCTTCTAACCTACTGTTATTCCTGTTCAGTCCAAATATTCTCCCAGCACGCAGTTCTAGAACACGTAGATTCGTATACAGATATATATATTCTACACTTAAAGTGAGATACAGGGCTTCATTTCCATAAAAAATGAATAGTGATGGATATAAATGACCATAAACTACAGTATTATACCTGTGTGCTATGATTTCAGGAAATTCCTGGGGCATTTGTGCGAATGGTACGGGTGCTTTGGGCTGCGGGCCACAGGAGACCTTCCGCACTTGCTCGGACATTTCTCTCACCTGATGACCTGGCTGCCTACATATATATGTGTGTGTGCATGAAGGGGGGGGGTGTTATATCTGTAACCCAATAGCAGGATCAATGAACCGTACCTTAATAGAACATGGCATATAATTTTTATCTAAGAGTGTGTCCTTCAACACAACAAATAAGTAAAAGAACGTTTTCAATTGAAAACAAGCATATATTAATCTGTACCTCATTTATTTATTACATGTATACGTATAAATTTAAGCATATAATAAACAAGTGAGGCACATATGCTTGTCTTCACTTGAAAACGATCCTTAATGTATTTGCTGTGTCAACGGTCACATTCTTAGATTTGACATAAGCAAAATGATGCAAACTATAATGTTTATATAATTTTTAATTTTACGCTTATAGTGACGTAATTCAAAAACAGCCGTCTGAAATCTAACATCGATGGCAATATTCAGAGGAAAAGCATTACCATATTATGAAGCGTATGGCATGTTTTTGATTAACGGAATTTTAAATAGTTAGTTGAAAACGTGGTAAAGAATAAGTATATATATATATATGGACGATAGAAAGTAACCGCCGACTTCACTAGTCAAAAGAATAAATGAAGAGTTTTATCCTCTCGGATATGACGCCGAGTAGTCCGTGAAACATATCCTGTCATGCAGAAGTTGTTAACTACTTCACGCTGGTTTCTTACTTGACTTACTCCTCGACCCTAAAGATGGAAGCGGCATACTCCTCCGAAACATAGGTTGAGAACAGACTACACGGCGTTATATCCCATAAGATACAACTGTGAAATCGTCAAATCATATATAAGATCAGTCATTCGGCGCACGTTCATCTAAGGTTACTAACAACATTTGTGTTTACACGTCACGTTTTAAAGCAGACTGTTACATTGTTAGATGTTTAACACAATCTTTCTTTGTAAAAAAATATAAATATTAAATGTTTATATTAAATCTTTGGGACCCGAAACTTTGTTTTATGTGAGTAATATGTAAAAAATAATAAATGTTGTTATATGCATATGTATGTATATGTTTTAATTTGTCATTTTTTCAATTTACGCTATGTATGAAAACATATTTCATCAGCGTTGTACGTAATTGGATCCTTAAGCATCTCCAACTGCAGACCTTTTCCCACAGTACCTCATACGAAGCAAACATGATTAGTTGATTGTGGTATTTCTGCAACATTAGACTTAGGTCACTTTTGTGCGTTACTTCGTTGTCAATATGAACACTATATCAAGTCTAATGGCAGGATGATTGACGGATGCTGAACTTGAGAGGATCTGGAAGGAAGAGATCGTGGTCTACTTGCTGACACATCTCGGAATTTGCCTGGATTAACTGAGGAGAACAATGCAAGATCTCAGCCCAATATAACTGGCGTAAAGACCGAGATCTGACCCTAGTACCTCCCTAGTAACGTTCCCACCTCATGACTCGTGGTACGCGGGTTCAAACCCGGCGGAGGTCGTGGAATTTTTAAGGGCGGAAAAATTCAGGGAACAAGTCATCCGGGAGGGACTTTAAGCCGTGGGTGTCGTAGATTTACAGCACGTAAAAGAACCTCATATCTCCAAAGGAGGTCACTGAGCCAAATTCAAGGACATTTCCCGCCCAACAGTAGTCTCTAACGCCTCTGATAGATGGGGGAAGCATTATAGATACCGCCAAGCCAGTAGAGGCCGAACTCGCTGGCTCGGTCGGGACTGAAGGTAAGCACCAATATCGATAGGGTATAGAGACTGGTAGAATATCATAGAGGGAAGCACAATGGACCAATACTGGTCTAAGTGCATGGGGAAACCCACCCTCTCCAATAACTAACTAACTAACTAACTAGTACCTCCCTAATACGAATCTATAGCGCTGCCGCCATGCGAACCCGCTCGATTCAGGTGTTCATGACTGACACGTTCCTCTAAAGCATAGGGGAAATTTGTTCTCCGTTCTAAACTGCATAATTTCCAAAGGCACACCTCACTTGGCTATTTGCGTTTTACTGCAGATGCAAACATGTTCTTACGAAGCTAGTCACAATGCAAATACACCGCATAATCATATTATTTTTCCTAAAATTTCCATTCATTTCGGAAGATGTTCCGAATGAAAGTTGAATAACTCCAATTTACGTATCTCTGTATATATTAACACGTTCCTGACGGTTGAAATTTTGAGTGCAATAAAACACTAAGGTAGGAGTAAGATAACTCATTTAAAAAGGAATTCGCCCTCACGTTGGAAAAAGATATAAAAGTTTGTGACCAGAATTATGAAAGCTGCGATATTTTGATATTTCTGGTTACCATGGCAACGAAATGTACAGTGTTAATACGTAAGAACCTATTCTGCCGACTTGTGTGAGAGTATATTGTGGCGTAACAACCCGTTACTAGGCAACGACAGCGAAACGAACGAGACAAACAGCCATTGCTAGGCAGCCATAAGCGTGCCAATGGACTGGCTGAGAAGCTACCACATGGGAACCACAACAGACAGGAAACTAATAATTACAGCAAGGTACCATTTGGCTGTCAATGGGAGAAGTTTAAAATTTAGTTCCGTTGTGAGATCGTGGCCAACCAGGAATGGAGTGAGCGCGGAAGCTGAAGGATTTTGATGAAATTTTTTGAAAATGCAACAAATTAAATGGAAAAGAGTCTATTAAATTATATTTCGGGAAGAATGTGAGGGGCAAGTCGTAGCATAGTTGGTTGAGGCTCTATGCTACAAGCTGGAAGGTAGCGGGTTCAATTCCCAGTGAGGTCACTGGATTTTTCAAATGACCTAATCTTTCCAAGCGCAGTATGGCCCTGGGGTCGACTCAGCCTCTATAAGAAACGATAAAAGGTAAAAAAAAAAAAAAA